GACTTCCGACTAGCAGTCTTTTGACTCTGTTATCCGCAGTGTGATGGCCAAATTGGACAGTTGTATTTGGCATGACTAACTGAGCATGACCTCCAGTTGGCATGTCTTATAAACACTATTTTCCACTTTGCAATGACTAGTTTGGGCAGTTTGAGGATCCTTATAGGATCATGACATGATTCACTGTATTGATGGTCATGACAAAGATTCCTTTTGATGATGTATGTATTATGGTGCAAGTGTCCGATGCTTTTCGGAGGACACTAGCGAGAGAGAGAAAGTCCACTAATCTAAAAGCATGTAGGTGAAGTTCATGATATGGTTGATGATCACGCAATACGTCACGACAATTGATGAGCATGGGAATGTGTGCGGTTGATGGCATTGAGTGGATGGATCATATGTGTGGATGGCTTTGTTGTTTGAGGATGTACAACTCAAGCAACTTCTATATAGCTACTAAAAGTTTGTATCATAGTTTTATAAATATTTTGAAACAAGTGGGGGAATATTAGAGAAAATTGTGTTTTCAAATATTTACAAAATAAGGGCCCAAAAATTTTAATTTATTTATTTTCTTTTCTACCTACTTAAAATATATTTTAAGATCAGCTAGTACTTTGTGTAGAGGATAAGAAAGACCCATGTGAAGAGAGGGACAAGTGGTAGACACATGTAGAGAGAGAAATGACAAGTGTTGCCTTTCAATAACCATTTGTCCCTCTCTTCACATGGGCCTCTCTTCACATGGGCCTTTCTTATTCTCTACACAAAGCACTAGCTTATCTTAAAATATATTTTAAGTGGGGTAGAAAAGAAAATAACTAAATTAAAATTTTTAGGCCCTTATTTTGTAAATATTTGGAAACACAATTTTCTCTAACATCTGATGGGCTTTTGCTAGGATTAATCACTGAAATCTATGTGAAAGTGCATAGCATGGTGATGAATAATTAGATTTTGTAAGATGGTGGAGTAAGGTGATGCATATTTTCTTTTTTTCTTTTTCTATTATTGAATTTCTGATTGGGTATGATCCTATATAAATTTTCTCTTTCTTCCTTTAGATAGAGAAGAACATTGTAAATGCATCTTACAGATGAAGAAAGGTGAATTATAATCTGCAATATTAAGTATATAATAAATACCAGTTATTGCTCCATGGTTGTTTCAAACAGTGGGGTCCATTTAATTGTAGTGCACATGGTGGCCCTATGTATTCTAAATTCCGAACTTTATGAGGTTCTTCAACTCTAAAACATGCTTTAATTACTTGGCTCGAGCTCTGGACTTGGGCCCTGCCTGAGCTGAATAACTCAGGAGAGTCCGAGTGGACTTGCCTTGTAGAAGCACAAGAAAGGGCTAAAAAGTTCAAAATTTTGTTAAAAGTAAAAGTTAAGTGAATAGCAAACTAATCTATGCACAACATTAAAAAGATGTCCAAAATTGATGGATAAAATATATAAAACATGGAATTTGGAAATTTTTTTTTAAAGAATATGACAATAGGAACTCACAAATCATCATCCAAAAAATCAAAATTATACATAAAACATTTATACATTGATTTAGTTAAAGAAAATATAATTTTCATGAAGTTTTTATACTTGTTTATGTCACCGAGTAGATATCTTGGAATGGCTCGACAAGGTGCTTGGTCCAAATAACTCACCCGTGTCCGAGTTGACTTGGCCGAGTTTTAAAGCCATGCTCTAAATTCTTTACCTTAGGAATTTTCACCGCCTCCAAATGTCCTGGATAAAAGGAAATCTTTTAGCCCTTGGTTTAAAATAGAAAGATTAATCATTTGACAGAAGTAAACATTAAAATTTCTTCAGGGAAGCTAGGAGTTTCGTCTTAAAGGCTTAAACTAATGCCTTGAGGAAAAATTTATTTTAAAAAGGTTTGAATTAGTTATTATTTTCTTATGGTATGAACTGTCCCCTGCACTTTACGCTCTTGTGCCTCCTTGTTCTTTTTGTTCCTGCTTCTTACCTTCTGTTGAGGCATATGCGTTAATGTATACCTTGTAAACAACCTTAACCATTATGGTGGCCAGTGTAGTAAGGGGTGCATACACCCCCCCTCAACAGCAAAAAGAAAAAGTTAAACAGTGAAGATGAATGAAATAGAAATAAAAGCTTTATAGTATTTGAATTTTTATAATTATTGTACTAATCAAATTTATCTAAAATTTGGGACGTATGTACATATGACCAAGTTGTGCCAAAATAAGCTATTAAAAAAATAATAGTCATAAAATAAAATGATGAAATTACCCCTGAAACTTTATAGAGGTATTTTGCGTAATTTTTATCATTCAATTTTGTTATATATATTTTATTCATGTGCATCTCACTAAGGCACACACACCTACAAAATTTCAGATCATTATGATTTGTAAAAAACATATTAAAATTCAAATACTATCAAACATCTGTGACCATGTGATAAACTTTGAACGGAGATAAAGCCGTAGGTGAAGTACTGTAGAACTTCACCTATAGGCATTTTGTAGTGTTTTTCATATATATATATATATATATATATTGTATTTTAACCAACAAGCACATGTGCGCACACGCACACATATATATGAAAAACCTTCTAGAGTCACTGCCTCACCTGGGCTATTTTCTGACCCTCTTCTCCACCATCTGGTCAAACCTGGATGGTGGGGATCGCTGCATTAGGAAATCAGCACATCCAGCAAGCCGGTTTTATCGACAGAATGGTGAGAGAAAGGGATTTTGTTTTTTTTTTTTTTTTTTTGAGAGAGAGAGAGCTGAAGGAAAGAATGGGCTTGTAGAGAGAAAAGGGGATTTCAGCAAGAGAAGGTTTTAGAGACAGGGAGGTTGCAAAGACAGTTGAACACTTGAGAGAGAGGGATGATGTCTTCGTACAAAGGGGCAAAATTTCAATGGGTTTTGCAGAGTTTTAAAATTTTAGTAAGTTTCAGCAAGGGGTTACTGTTAAGTCAACATGGTAGTCAAACTGCCCTTAACTATGGATTAACATTACCTTGTCAAAAAACAAACTATGGATTAACATTAGGACAGTTTTTGACAATTTAGGAGATTGCTATCTACATTGTAAAAGAAAATGTATGTTCAAATTCATTTGTAGCGAAACAATACCTAATATAGTGAGTAAAGATGTTGAGAAAAGTTGTAGATGCAGGTCCATTGAAACAAGACCGCTATGGAAACAATCCCATTTCAGCTAGCTTTATCAGGTGTTCGAGCCAATCAAAGGGGTCAGGAAATTTGAGTGTTGACATGGTAAATAGGGCTTTAGCGTCTGAGCGGATTTCAACGTAAGCTCCAAAACAAGGCATGGCTTACTCAAAGTATATAATGGAAGACACATAAGATTGGATAGAAATTGGAAGAAGCTAGCGGATGTCTGGGGCATTGGAGATAACTAAGAAGCATGGTTGCTTAAGTTAAAGGAAGTGAGGGTAGTAATCAGTCATGAGGGTTGTCAATGCCTATTACAAAGATTGTTTAAAGAAACTTTGAAGAGCTGCTACCCTAGAATTACGACTTCAAGGTGGTTGATTATTTCTTTTAGATTCAGCAAGGGATTAGGTGGATTTGAAGATGTTATAATGTAAGTATACTTTATACTGCCAAGATGCTAAGGTTTTAGGCATATATGCTGGAATGCTATTCATCATTTATTAGAACTGGAAACATGAGTAACATCTTGGTTGACTATGGTAGAGTATTTCTCCCTACATAGATGATGCGAGCATACAGAAACAGGTTCTCTTTTGCCTAGGTCTTGGTTGTAATGTCTATGTATTTCGCTTCAAACATAAGAAGTCTCATGCTTTTTAGTGAATGATGATTGCTGCCATTAGGTTATGTATTGTTTCTAGAAACCAGCAATATAAGGCTTGCTATGCTTATATCGGTGATACAAACAAATATGTAGATTGAGTCTTGAGCACGTCATATTTCCACTTGGAAGAGAGGTTACTTAGTGGGACCTGCATTTTAAAATAATGCTAGTACAAAGTTTAAACAGAGCATACTTTGAAAAGATATATTCGAGTGGGGACTCAATGTAGTTCCGAACTCCCAATCCAATTCAAATTGTTAAGATTCACTAGAGAATCTGCTGAGCCTTACAACTTGTTTGACTCAGCCCTTTACCATGGTGAGTCTCGAGTTGACTCACCATATTTCTAAACTGTGGGCTTAGAAGTATGAACAGCATTCTGTAGTTACAATGAGTTTACTTCCCTAAGGCTTTAGAGAAGACTACATATAAATGAGAAAGGAAGAACTCCAGAACACTTCCATCATTTTCACATGTACTAGTCATGACAGAGTGAAAAAGTGATTCTGCAATAGATCCATTGCTCACCAAGGAAAAATCTATATACCTAGACATGGATTTTGAGGTTACCCCCACAATCTGGAGTGCCCTCATATAGATCTAGCTTAATGGTCATTCTGTGGACTCATTATAGCCATAGGCTTGCCTACACAAAGTTTAAAAAAAGAAAGGGATGAAACATTCTATTGGAAGTGTTTATTTAGCGTCTATTAATAGGAGAATTTGTGTTGTGAAAGACAATGTGGTACCTGCCAATTGCAGCTGGGGCCGGGACAGTGCATTGGGAGATTAACCAAACCAAGTGAATCTTCAACAGTGTCATAGGTTTGGATTTAAATAGATTATAGAATTTGACAACTGGTTCCAAATTTATAAATGAATGTACAAGTTTTAAATAAAACTCTCTAATTGAAAAAGATTACCTTAAACTTTGAAAAATGACTTGGCAACTGTTTACCCTTCTAAACTCTATTCGGAGTATGCAGAGGTTGAACTAATTGTTTAGTGTGTTCTAGAATTGTTTTCCTTTCTTTCCAATTTACTTTTTGATGTATTTTCTATTCATTATTCTAATTGGATTACTAGAATTCATTTAACCAAATTGGCAGAATTTATAACCAGTTATTATAAACATTTGTTTGACTTGCTTGCAGATCTTCTCCATATATTGTCTTTTCTACCAAGGAATCTCAACTTCATTCAGCTTAGTAGTCAAATTGGAAAGACAGAGTACTTATATTCTGATCCCATTTCATTTGCACATGTTTGACGTGTTTATGGAAATCTATTCTTTGGACCTCGATTGGTTTTTTCAGTTTATTTAACTTAGTGATGTATGGAAATGGATGTTTCAGGTATAAAATGATAAGGCCCGTTATTGTTGATCCAGGTCTTTACCTTTCATCCGGAAGCGACATATTTTATGCAACACAAAAGCGTCCCATGCCAAATGCTTACAAGATTTTTACTGGTAAATTTTCTTTGCACGTTGTTTTAACTAGAAGCCATTTTCCTTTGTGTTTTCATGCCCCTAAAATCAACAATCAGTTGAGTTTTGTTCTAGCTCTTACCTGTCAAGTCAGTTTGAAGGATTTAATAAAATTTTTTGTAAGTTAATGATCTATATTTGGTGATATGGCAGATTTATTATAAAATTTGTTATCAATATCACACTCAAAATGTATATGGAACTTTTGATTCTCTCCAAGCTGAACTATCATTGACAACTTTGTTCTTGCATCTGGACCAAGATACTAGTCTGCACCATAGTTACCGGGATTGCCTACTTTGGTCGGCGATCCATTCTAGGAACTCGATTATGGCGCTCCTAGAATGGATCTCTCAGAGATCTCGTATTTTTGGCCTTCAGGATCTTGCTCCTTTTTTCAAGATAACGAGTTTCCTTTAAGTATGTGTTTGTGTTCCCGGCTACTATAGGATCTAATTCTTGAGTGATATGTTTCTCGATCATAAGAGTCGTCAAATCTAGATTCTATTACTTTGGAAAACAAGCATCACCTTGTATTACATTTAGATTCCACCAACATGGGTCGTAGTGGTTGTAAAAGCTTGATATTCAAAAGTGGATTGCGATTCTATACTTTTGGACATTGCGCCCTCTCTATATACATATGTGTATTAACAAATTCGGTCGCTCGACGGCCTAGGCGGCCGGAAAGCCAAAACACCTAGGTGGGCTTCCTTGGTGTTCTGTCTAGTCTCCCCTAGGCAGCACCTCGAAATTGGCCGAGAGAGGAAAAAAGCCCTCGGGCAGGGGTATTTTGGGGTTCCCCACCCCCTTGGAAAGGGGGGGAAGGGGTTTTGAGGTGCATTCTAGTCCCCCAAAACCCCTTTTGTGTATTTTAGAGAGAGAAAAACTCTCAAAAAACTTAGATTTTGAGATCCTTTTTTCTCAAGATCAATAAAAATTTTAACATTTTTTTATTTCTTCCTAATTCAAAAGATATACTTCTTGATAACTTTTGGGGCTTGGAGTGGTTGCATAAGAGAACTTTTGGTGACCAAAGATCACTGGTTTGGGCCCATATCGGTTTCATTTTGAAAAGGTTAGTGCATTATAATATTTGAAATAGGGTTTGGTATTTTTTTTTGTATAATGTGTTATGATTTGATATTCTTTTACTCTCTTTTTTCCTTTGTGATATTTTTACATGTTTATACTTGAAAACTTCAAATATTTGGTGAATATTTCTTGGTTTGGATCTGTATCGAATTCATTTTGAAAATCTTAGTGCAATACAATATTTAAATTAGGGTTTTGATATTTGTTTTTTGTATAATATGTTATGATTTGATATTTTTTATTTTTTTCTTTTTTTTTGATATTTTTACTTGTTTGTGTTGGAATATTTTGTGTTCTGTTATCAGTTTGGGCTTATATTTTGTGAATAGTTTAATACTTCAAATTAAATTGATATTTTGTGAATATTTAGATTACAAGACCAAATTTTAGGGATATTGCATTATGTGATTATTATATTTTTTAATTTTTAGGGGTTTTGGGGCCCTAAAACTGCCCAAGAACTCCCTTGGGAGGCTTAAACCCCTGCCCTTAGAATTCCTTTGGGGCCTGGCCTGTCCTTGCCCCTCCTTGCCCCTGGGCGCCTGCCTAGGCAGCCAGGCCCCCAAACTGCCTAGTTTATTTAGTAAGCAAAAATCAAAAGCAAATTATTTCATGTATATATGGCTTTGGGTTATATTTTCTTACACAGTTATTCAAACAAAAAATGGCAACATTGAAGGATAAGTTTTGTACTTAAAAGTTAAAACTAAAACTATAAATGTCATAATTTATTTAATGAATTGATGTATCTACTATGTTAATATAATGAACTATGGATTAATTTAATGTTCCTTATTTATTTAATAGAAGTTTAGGATTACATATTATTAATTAACAACACTGGGAACCGCCCTGTAAAGCCAGGGAGTCCAATTTAAACTTACATGAGGATTTCATTTTTCAATTAAATGGAGCTCACTCCTATAAAATTTATCCCTCGCTCCATACTATTTTGGATTATTTTTCTTAATGCGCTCCCTAGGTTAAGAAACTCAAAACTTGTACTTGGGAACTTCATTTCCAAATTAGAGGATGTCGCTCCCCAGTATTATAATAATCAAAGCCATCTAATAGAGGAACTCGGTCGCCAACACATGTGTACAGTGTTCCCTAAGTTTGAGGCTGTATGGACGTCGATCCCAAACATTGGGATCTTCGGGGTGGCTTCGATCTGTCAATCCCACCCCTGATCCTAGAACTGTTACCAATCCCGTTCCCAATAACTATGGGCTGAACTTTTGAATCTTATGATCCATTTTTATTGACAAAATCATGAATATTTTGGCATAATTTAGTTTTTTTTTTGTGTTGTCTGTTTGGATAAATTTCATTTAAGCATAAGCACTCTCTTGCTTTTATTGATGAATTTCCTGACGAGGGATAACTAGATACAAATAATTTGCTTAAGTGTCATGTCAATACACCACTATCATTTTCAGTTCTCATAATTTGAACTTTCAGCATAATCCAAGATTTTCTTGATTAGCAACTCAATTTATTGGGACTTCTGGAGTTCTACACAACCTTGGGCAATTTTTTTTTTGTCTCAATAAACCTGCTTCGCTTTCTTCCTTGCCTACTCTCTCTTACTCCTCATTTTCTCTTGTCTCACCGGTATTCTCCCTTCCCCTGGCCAGCTTCCTTTTATTGACTTCTCCATACTAGCTTCTTTCAGAATCTTCAATCCCCAACTAACCTCTGAAACCAGGTTAAAATTTGAAATTAGATAAAACTCTCCAGCACTTCTCCCTTCAATATCTTACCATAGCCAAAGTTTAAAATCACATTTTTATCACCCCTCTTACAGCTGTCATAATGGTAGTGGCGCTTGACCATTATGATGGAATACCACCATTATTTGATTCTCCCTCAGAGCCTGGTTCTTGATGATGGCTTTGATCACTGTTATATCATTTTATTGGTAATTTCCATTGGCAGTTATAACTGAAAATAATGTTAATCTGAACCATGATCTTAGGCCAACAGCTCCCCAAGGTTTTTAATGTCCACACATATCTGGCCATACATCTTTATTGCCCTGGATTTCACGAATGTGTTCTAGACCAAAACAACTTCCTGTCCTTTTTATGGTGAACCTTTTGTAGGTTAATTCACTATTATACAAGGGCTTTTGAAGTTGGACTATGTACTAGTCACTGGCTTTTCTAATATAAGAGCAGGGGCTTCTCCTAGAACTTTCCTGGGGATTTTGTCATCGTCATCATCATTTTAGCTTTTTCCCAATTAATTGGGGTTGGCTACATGAATCTTGGTTCTCCATTTTACTCTATTAAAGGCCATATCCTCAGAGAGGCCATAATTCCCCATATATTTTTCGAACTACTTCCAACCACATCTTTTTGGGCCTACCCCTTGCCCTTTTCAGTCCTTCCAGTTGAACTAATTCTAATTTGAATTAGGAGGCAAGAGCCTAGAAGCTGAGTTATCTCAATAAAACCCACCCCTGTCCATCTGAATCTCAACCTATTTGATGAGATTTACTGCAAGTTTCAGCTTTCCAAAATCCAGACTCTGGAATCTTAAGTTTCAGTTGTTATCTTAAGGTGTTGCTATTTCCTAGTTGCCCTTAGCAACTTGGAGCTGAAGCCTTCCTGAGAAGTTTTATATTCTTTCTAAAAGACAATAAGCACGTTGCAAAAATTACTGCCAAAGTATCGATGTGTTTAATACAAATAAAAGCAGTAGCTTTTTATGATTATTTGCTAGCACGTGACTGGAGTACTATATATATTTATATTTTTTATCAAGAGAAATGAGAAACCTATTGAGTCATTACAATGGGAGGCCATTTCTGCTTCAGAGAGGGATGTGCCTATAATGTGAGCTCTTCCAGGCTTGACAAATGATGGGAAGGAGGTTGCAAACCTAATAGCGCTGATTCCAGATGATCCCTTCTCTTGATATGGTGTCTCTTTAAGTTCACGTATAAAAATTTGGTACTAGCGAGAATATCTGCTGCTTTCCTCATCTTTCATCTGTATACCAAAGTAGAATCAATACCTATGCTGTAACGGGACATACCCATGTGTTTAGGAGAGTGTACATGCAAACACACTAGACATGTGTTGACGCGCATGACACACATACAAATGAGAGAAATCTGAGTTATCATTTTTGGAAATTTTTATTTTTTGGTTTCGCAGAGGCTATGTGTCTGCCATGTGGACACGCAAATCTGCAGATTTGATGACAAGATATGCCTTCGTTTTTGCAAGGCAAGCATGTCTGTCCCCTTGTAAGCGGTGTGCATGTCTGTCCCCTTGTAAGCGGTGTGCATGTCTGTTTGATAAGACACATGTGGTGCGCAAGTGTCCTTATGATTTGGACACACATCTTTGATTTGGACCTACATGTTCTCCTTTTTGAGTTAATTTTAATGTTAAAGACTTACATTAATTTGATATTTAGAATATATTTAACATATGCATTGTACGGACTTTCCAAAGATGTCATATTGGTCCCTTTATGAGTTACTTTTAATCTTAAAAACTTACATTAATTTGATATTTAGAATATATATAAACATATGCATTGTACGGACTTTCCAAAGATGTCATATTGGTCTTGGCATACATAGTTATTAGAATCAGATTCTTCGAAACTGAGCTAAACACATTCTTGTATATGTGTCCTTGTAACGTCGTTCAGACATTGCTCCCATGTAGTCGAAAGAACAGGAATAACAAAAGTACAATTTTCCCTTGTGAGAGGTCCATGGGATAAGTCCCTCTGGTTTAAATTCTGCTCTTCCTGGTCCTATAAAAAGAGGTTTTGTGCTTTTTAGAGCTGATCTCTAGCTTTTTAGGAGTTTTGAAGTTTTTCCAAACTTGCATTGTGATGGGTGTCTTATTCATAGACAACCATGTGAGTTCTGCTCTTAGCAAATTCAGAATGGATTTATTTTTTTGATGATCAGAAATTACCAGGATAATAATGTTGAACTCATCGTCTTGCAGGTTCAGCATCTATTATGTTGAGTCGTAAGTTCATAGAGTTTTGCATCATGGGCATAGATAACTCTCCTAGGACCCTTCTCATGTACTTCTCAAACAGCGTGGCAGCACAAGAGGCTTACTTCCAAACTGTGATATGCAATGTCCGTAAATTCAACACAACCATTGTTAATGATGACATGCACTATGCTGCATGGGACAAACCTAAAAAGTTGGATCCCCGAACCTTAAGTTCCAATGATTTTGATGAAATGATAAAAGATGGTGCCCCCTTTGCTCGAAACTTTAACGAAAATGATCCAGTCCTGGATCACATTGATAGAGAAGTCTTGCACCGAGGAGAGGGAAAAATCGTGCCTGGTGGGTGGTGCATAGGTGAAGGCAAAGAGGATCCATGCTCAGTTTGGGGTGATGTCCAAATTCTGAAGCCAGGTCCAGGTGCGAAAAGGTTAGAAGGTCATCTGGTGAAAATGTTCTCAAACTCGACTTTCAGGTCGAATCGATGTATATTTGAATAATGTGTTATATTTGTTTTTTTGTGCTGATTGCAAAGGTTTTCCAGTTGGGTCTCAATTGATTTTTTTTCACCATGAGATTGAGCTTGTATCATTGTACAGAATGCCTTGGTAATGTATATTACCGACTCAAACTTGAGAGTTTGAGTCTGAGCCCTTCTCTATCTATTAAAAACGAAAATAGATGGAGTTTTGTTTGTATTATTGGTATTCAAATCCTTGGGGTTCATTTTCTATTAACCATCAACCCACTATTTGATATGTTGGTGTTGTTCTTTCTTTTGTTGCATCTGCTCTGAACATGCACATGACTCCTATTCTTTTATATTTTGGGACCCTTTCTTAATGGGTTGGCTGTTGGCTTGAACTCAAGAATACTAGCAGTGTCAAAATTAAATAGTATATTGAAGAAGCAAAAACTATATGTCCAAATTGAGAACCGAGTTCAGAGGTAGTCCCTCATAATATAACAATTGTGTTTGCAGGCCCGTGTGTGTTTGTGTGTGTGTGTGTGAGAGAGAGAGAGAGAGAGAGAGAGAGAGAGAGAGAGCATGTTGACAACTGTTCTTTCTCCCTCCCACTGGCTCGCAGAGTGTAGTTTCACATGTGAAATGTGTCATGGTTTCCTTGGTCACGACCCGTGATTGCTGGGTTATTAGAGGGTATTGTGTTATTAGAGCCTTTCTTATGGTGCTTTACAAAAGTTATTTTCTATATTCAAAGTTGAAACAGAAAATGTTACAGGAGCTATGTAAGTTGAAATTGAAGATCCCTAATTTTCTATTGAAGATTTTTTAAAAAGGTGATTGCTATTACTGTTAAAAAGGTGAGATATATCCATTCCGAAAATGGATTTCTGAAGTTACAGCAATTTGAAGCAAGGAGATGGACATAAGCAAGTAACCATTAACCATTTACTCAGACCTTGTTCATGTACAATGTGTTCTTTTACTTGCCAATAACTCCCAAACAGCGAGAGAAATATGAATATTGAGAATTAGTGGGATTCTCGTACCTTTGAAAGAGAAATACGCATATTGAGAAATATGCATATTGAGAATTAGTGCGATTCTCGTACCTTTGAGAATTAGAGGGTTTTCGCAAGGACATCTGTGATAGTTGGTATCAAGTCAACTGAGTTATGCACAGATTATTAGAGAGAGGTGTGAGATTAAGTTAGATGATGAATCTAAAGATGTAAACACAGGACAGCAAGCAGAGTTGCCAGTGATGATGGTTTGCAAGGAGATCTGTGATCATCGGTGTAAAGCCCTTCATACATAATGCAAGGTTCCTTTTTTGCCGCCATTGGAAAGCTTGGAAGGCTTTGATATATAGGCACAGAATGTATGGAATTTTGTGACTAAACCGGTATGTAAGCGGTTTCTAAAACATTGTATTAATAATGTTCACTAAACCAGTATGTAAGAGGTTACTAAAACATTGTATTAATAATGTTGACAAATAAGGATTGAGTTGATACAATTCTTAAGCAGCAGTTTTGGAGATTTTTTGGTAAGAAAGTAACAGTGCAGGAATAGTGATGGAGGGCAAAATTCTTTTTATTTTGTATTTTTATTCAATTTCAATAATGCATATTGTAGTTTTAGTTTTAAGGTTTATTTCTAGGGTTTTTTAGGTTTTGAGGATTTTTATAGTTTCTTTTATTTGTTTCATTGTTTGGCTAGTTAGGGAGTTTTTTAGATATTTTAATTAAAGTTAGGGAGTTTAGTTTCAAGTTATACTTAAGTTAGGACTTTTTGGTTAAAAGTTGATTTCATGGACAAATATTGTCCAAAACATTAGTTTTTCAATATAAATAAAGGCATTGATGGGTTGGAGAATCATTCATGTATTCCTCTTTAAGAAAATAAAGATTTTGTCTTGTAAAAGAAGCCTAAGGGTCGAGCTTTAGGAGGGAGAAAGCCTTAGAGTTCCTCCAAAATTGCTTATGTTTGGCTTGTTTTTTGCTAATTTTATTATTGCTTCAATTTCTCCTACATCAAGTAGTATCAGAGCCCGCGATCCACATGGAAGTTACTGTAGCAAGTATGAAAAGTTACTATAGTAGTACATAAGTTACCTGTAACATGTACGGAGTTACTGCAGCACCACTTTTTTTTTTGGTGCCCTAGGTCAACAAGAAAGAGGTGAAGTTATAGTGGGGTATAGGGTTCGTTGATTTTGGCAAATTTATGTTTATTTTTAATTTCTATTCAATTTTAAAGGATGTATATTTTGATTTTAGGTTTATGATTTATTTTTAGGATTTTTAGTTTTTAGGAATTCTAGAGTTTTTATAATTTCTTTTATTTATTTCATTGTTGGACCAATTGGGGAGGTTTTGAAATATTTTAATTAAAGTTAGAGAGTTTAGTTCAATTTATACTTAAGTTAGGACCTTTTGGTCAAAAGTTAATTGTATGGACAAATATTGTATGAAACAATAGTTTTTCAATTTAAATAAGGGCATGGATAAGCAGGAGAATCATTCATGTATTCTTCTTTAAGAAAAGAAAGACTTTGTCTTGTAACAGAAGCATAAGGCTTAGGATTTCTCCAAAATTGCTTTTGTCTAGCTTGTTTCTTGCTAATTGTATTGTTCCTTCAATTTCTCCTACATCAAATGGTCTGAAACATTGAACCTCTCCTTGATGAAGCCGAAGAAGGTATGGATACAGATAGGAGTACCTTTGCATGCCTGGAATTTTGAGGTGTTTAAAGCAATGGCATCAAAATGTGGTGAGTTCTTGGAAATGAATTGAAATTCAGTAATTGGGAATGAGATATGTATAATTAGGGTTTAAGTGGAAAGGAAGAGAGGGAAACCACTTCTGAAGAAAATTATGCTTGAAATGCATGATCAAGAGTTTCCTCTTGTTGTTAGGGATGAAAGTATGTATACGGCGCGGAACATGTTGAAATACAAGGTGGGAAAAGTTTGTTTTAAGACCAGGAGAGGAAAGTGGCTTGATAGAAGTGAAGGGGAAGAGACGGGAAATGGTATGGTGCCGGGAATGAAAGAAAGTTGGTACAAGGGAGAAGTGTCTCAGGAACGATTAGGTTTACAAACAAGGTTTGCAGAGGGGGTCAGGAGAATAAGTTAGTTACTTGGCAATACAGCTGCTAGGTCAGCTAGCTGAGGACCAAATGTAATAGGGCAACAAGGGTGAAGACAAGACATCATGGATTTGAAAAAGGACAGAGTAATTTTTAAAGAATTTTGGGCATCCAATTCGAAATTCAAAAGACCGGTGCTGATTGATGGGGAGAAATCAACAAATGGAAGCGGGGTGGGTAAACACTCGAGTGAAGGGTGAGAATCTTAGGTTACAGGTATCACCAAGAGGAGCAATGGTGAAGTTATGGAAGATAGCGAAGTGGATTTAGGTCATAATGAGAGAGATAGAGAAGGGGAGTAAATTAAGGAAAGTGATGTATTCGAGGAGAGAGATGTAGTAACGGGAGAATGCGAGAAGGGAAGTAGGATTACAGATGGGATTCAGCACGGACTTTCAAGAGGCGAGTGAGGGAAGGTTGGTGGCATGTAATGATAAGAAAGGTGAGGAAGTGCAAGAAGGGGAGAAGGAATATAAGGAGTGGGAGGTCACTGAGTCTATGTATTGAACAATTTCTAGATTTAGTAGGCACAATGAGAACTCAATCTCTTCTAATTCCTTATCGCAGGCCTGCAGTTGCTTGCAGAGAGAAATGGCCTAGAGAACCAGATAGCAAAGACCGGCCTAGTGAAAAGATCGTATATATAGAATCAGAGGACTGGGCCATTGTGCTAGTTGATAGTAAAGAGGTGTCATAGAAACCCCCATAGGAGTTGGTGTATGACAGTGGGAATCTCCAAAGGCACTGCTGGACATAGGGGGCAAGAAATCTGTGTTGTGGAACGCATTTGTACGATACTGGGGTGCCCATGGAAGGAGCTAGTGAGAAGGTGGGGACGAAAAAACAAGTCAAAACGAAGGTGAGTGGTAAGTGGGTGAAGATGAATGGCGACAGAGAGATGGTAGTTACTGCAATGCCGAAGAAGGTTAGCCCTAAAAAAAAAATTTGGGGAAGAAGGCAGTTGTGAAAATGGCAAGGGGTGCTAGTCACAGAACTGAGAAAGGAGCATCCAAAGGCCAATGCGGGGAGAAAGTCAAAGAGAAAGCTGGTGAATCTTCATTAAGTACATCGACAGGGAACTCTGTTGTTTGCAGTACGCTACTAGACACTGACCTACTTGCAAGAAAGGATGATGATTCTAACTCGGAAAGTAAGGTGGCTAGGAGATAAAAGGAGATCAGAGGTTCAATTGCTAGTGAAGAAACAAAGTCCAGATGTTTTGTTGCTACAAGAAACCGAGGTCTAGGTCTTTAGTGTTATGTCTATAAGCTCAGTATGGGGTAGCAGGCCTTGCTAGTGAAGAAAGAAAGTCCAAATGTTTTGTTCCTACAAGAAACCAAGGTCTAGGTCTTTAGTGTTATATCTGTAAGCTCAATATGGGGTAGTAGGCCGTAAAGTGTCAGATGGACAAACGGGGGCTATTTTGACAGTATGGGACCCTTTGATTTTGAAAAAAGTCTGGTCTGGGGTGGGTCGGTGGTATGTGTCATAACTGTTTGAATGTTGTAATAGTGTTTGGAAATGGATGATGACTAATGTATATGGACTTAATGGTCCGGCATTTAGAAACAAATTTTGGGATGAATTTTCTAAGGTTTTTGATGAAATTCAAAACTAATGGTGTACTGTTGGTGATTTTAATATTGTTAGATGGTCTATGGAATTTAGTTCTCTAAAAAGAATTAATCAGTGTCTGAGAGGTTTCTCTAATTTTATGCTTTCTCATGAGCTTTTTGATATTCCTATAGTGGGTGCTCTATTTGCATGGTCAAATAATTGTCCTAGCAACCCCATTTTCACAATATTGAATTGCTTTCTTATATCAGTACGCTAGAATGAGATGTTCCCAATGGTTAATCATGTTTCATTAGTTTTGGAGAATGAAATGGGTTTAGTTGGGCAAGTGACATTTCAAGTTTCACCATGATGAGGTCTCCGAGTCCATTCTCACCAAAAGGGCAGGGTCCAAATCCCCACCAACTTACCCTTATTAGGAAAAGAGCCTGGGTTTCATTGGTTATCGCTTGACAATATGCAATGCTACATCCTAGGCTCAATTCCTACCAAGGATAGGGGCCCTCTACCCATTGACTCACAAAAAAAAAAAATTGAAGTTTCCATTATTTTAACTATAATCCT